TCAATTTCTTATAAAATGTTGTCTTTTAATTCTTAAATTATTTGGAGTTGACTTTTGTATATTCTTTCCTTGAAATATCCCTACAAAAAGAAGTTGGGTGCCAAGAATTATGGAACTTTGTAGCCAGTTTATGTCTTCATATTTTGAAATCAATTTATGAAACATTTTCATTAAAATATTATATCTAAGTCTTTCTACATGCACTGTTACAATTTAGTTTTGACAAGATAGAATATCTTTTCCCAGTCTGTTAAAAATCAAACTTGAAGTATGCTTGTTATAAAATATAATTAAATGAACACTGTTTATACATATCTCAGGGACTGGATCAAAAAGGCATATAATTTAAACCAAAGAATTGCCATAATTAATCAGTCTAAGTGCTATTATCATGTTTAATTAGCCTGATTAATTATGTCTATCATTTTTTGGTTTATTTTTAATACATTGGGCTTAGTGATGTAGACACATAATTGAAATTTATGTCAAAATGCATCAAAATATGGCAGAACTAATAGGTTTTTTTATGACAGACTTATAATGTTAGTTTTTAGCTAATGTTTTAACTTTTATGTTTTTATTTTATATTTTTATTCCATATCTTGTTTGCTGAAGTTGCAATAACCACTGGTTGAATAGACAAAATTTATGCAACCAGTTAACAGCAGTTAGCAGTTCTGAAACGATTTTTATCTCCAAGACTTGTCAAGAAATATCTATTGCAAACCATTAAGACTTCTATGTTTGAATTGATAAGAATTATACATTGGAATATGTTTTGAGATAAACTTGTTTTGTTAAAGGAATATTCTTTGCTTATTGAGTCTTTTGCTATTATAGGATACTGGACATGTAGACTTCCTCTATATTATGATTATTTTTGCACACATTAACCAATAATCTATTGTTAATTTCTCACTTTGAGAAAGTAAAATAAAGGGTGGGATCATTTTTATGTCATTTAATTTCAGGGATGTATGAGAATAAAGCCAAAAATGCATTGTATAAATTCTGAGAACATCTTCTAACAGAATATTTGCTATCTGTTATCTTCACCTGAAAGGAAATAATATGTAAATGAAACTCTAGTTAATTTAGATGTACAAATGAAATATTTTACCATTGAAAGGAATAGAAGTGTTTTGGGACCAATATAAAACAATGTATAAATGATGGTTCTTTATTGTATTTTGTTGTCTTGTATATTGTCATGTGTGCAAACAGATATATTAATAATTTAATTATTTTTATAAATTCTTTTAATTATAAATTTTATAGTGATATATTTTATTTACATATATTATTAAAAGATGAATGATTACTTATTAAATCTTTGTATTTTTAATAATTTAAACAAATTTATTAAACACTTGCGTAAAGATACAAAGCCTAAAAACATCTTTTATATAAAATATAAATTTAAAAAATATACTGTATAAATTATTTTAATGTTTAGTACTATAAATATATGTTAAATTAAAAGATTATTATGTTTTTGGATGTATTTCCAAGTCATTCTCAGCTCAGAGCTTACAATTGATCAGAATATGGAATAACTTAGAAGAAGAACATATTTAAAATTATATATAAATATGTATTAGTAATTTAATAAATTTAGTCATTGTGCTACTATACAATTGATTATAGTTTTGTCACCAATGCATTCAGGAAATACTCTGGTATCTGTTTCATTTACTGGCATTTTTATGATATTAGTGCTCACAAATTATCAGATTTTCTATAATTAAATGCATTAATACATATTTAATCTTTTCTCAAAATAGAAACTTCGAACTGTAGTATAATTTCAATTAAATATGGATTCTTAAAAAAGTTATTACTTAATATTACATAAGTGATAATGATTTATTCTTGGGGGACCGAGTTGAATAGATAAAAAAAACTTTTAATGTGATTTCGGTAAAATTTCCACTTTATGTGACTTCTAATTTATGAGTGGTCCACAGAATATACAGTAAATAAAAAAATGAATTTTAATTAGGAAAAGATTTTTAGAAAATTTTCTACTTTATGTTTGTTTTCCTTTTTCTTTGGTGGACCAGGGCCCCTTGGCCGTTTCCTGCATGTGCCACTGCTGATGCTTCTTGAAATTCTAAACCACTACATACAGGTAAGATTTTAGCTACCATTATCTTTGATAGCTGCCTTTTCTTGACATATTCACTGCCTCCCAAAGGAAACAATGTCCTAGCTGTGTGTCTAAAACATTTTATTTTCTATGAAACATCCAAGAATATATATATAATAAGTAAACAACATGTAAGAAAATGTTTTAGAAATATGTATGTAAAGTATAATATCTTCTTAGAAGCATACAGTAAACAATAAAAAAACTTATCTTGAAAAGAAATTATTTCTGAGCAACAAATACAGCCAACTTTTATGGTGTTCATGAGCAGAGTTATCATATGTGGTGTTGCAGTGTAGACCGCTCCAGGGTTGTCACTGGCAGTGAACATGTTAAGAATAATCACTTAAAAGATCTCCATTTGTTATTCAGATTTAATGATCCAATGAAAATACAATCAGTGACATTGACTTTGACAAAATAGGAATTTACTTAATATCTTTTTCTATTATGTTGGATCTACATTTTTAGAAATTTACATATTTATGAATTTAGGAAATTTTCATCTTACTCTTAAAGTCTTCCTGTACTATCCAATGGGCCTTTAATTGCAATACAATGTTCTTTGGCATAAATTGATGTTTTTATAAATGTGCAATATCTATCTAAAGGACAAATATTTTGCATTTCACATTCATTAATGAATATATTACATATAATATTGATATAGTGTGAATATGGCTGCTATAGAAGACTGATTATTCTGCTCTATACTATAATATTAATGAGATATTCTTTTAACTAGTTTAATGTTTAATATCGTAATGCTATTACTTTTCAATGTTTCTATTTTCAACTGTTACTGATGTTATTGTAAATTTAAATTGTATNTGTAATAGGGGGATTGATGCTATTAAAGGTCAAGGGGGTGGGGGAGATAATGGGGGTTGTGTGTATCTCCAGTAGGGTTAGACTTGTGACGATTTTACTGGTTATTGGCATTTACAATTTTTTTTTAATAAAATTCACCCCTACCCACAAAATTAAGCTTCTTGCCATTTTATAATAGTTAAAGATATAAAAAATTTTTTAGTAAAATATGATAACAGATGGTACCACCAAATGTTGCCAGGAAAGTTGAGCAACTCATTGCTGGATTTTTTTTTGCTTTGCTTCACGTTAGAGAAGTAATACACTATTTTTCTTTATATATTATTCTCTATATAGTCTAGTTAAAAAATAAGTTATACAAACACCGTAAGAAAGCACCCAACAAAAATTTCTCCAGTTGTTTGTGGCTATTGATATAACCTAGTTGAAACATTTCTCTGCTTTCAAATTATAATCTTGATTAGAAAACAGCATTAACCATTCATTGATTAGTTCTTCATTTTTTATTTGAAAAATTTTAATATTCATGTTATTGGATCCATGTGATTTAACTTAGAAACATTAAACATTCAAACTTTAAGAATTTATTTTTCATTTACATTTACATAATAAATTTCTATAAAAAATATGTAGGTAAAACTTATTTTTGATGATTAATATTCTAGATCAGTTGAATAAAATGGAATTGAATTGTGACTTATCTAATGAAGATAAAGTTTCTAAGTAAAAAATCTGTAACATTTTCCTGGAAAGAAAACAAAATACTGTTATTTCTAAATCAAATAATGATTTTTTTGTTGGAGACTAATTGAAATGATTATAAATTAGGTAACTCCTAATATTTCAGATAAAGATGGAATTAAATATGTTATTAAATAAGTATATTTTGTTTAATGTTGTAGATCAAATAAATTTTTAATTAAATATTAATGTAATTTTTATAGTATTTGCATTACTATTATAAAATATTTATAAGATATCTGCAATATTTAGAATAAAGAAAATTTTATAAATTTGTTTGTTTATTGAAGTTTTCCGAATCAAAATATTTTTAATGTATATGAGTGCAAATCTTCTATAATTGTAAATAATGTAAGACAGACATTTTGATATTCAAAACTTTTGGAATATTAAAAACATTTTAGTTATTACAAATAATATCTATTTAACATCAAAAAACTGAGTTTTTCCCTCCAAGTTAATATTTGTGGTGTATACCTTACTTTTCCTATTTTACTGATAAGTATATCATCATCAATAACAAGCAATATTTTACTTTTCAGAATATCTGTTTGTCTGTAAATAAAACACATGTTATTAAATAATTAATGTTTTCAATCAGTTACATAAAGTTTTATTTCAAAATTGGATAAAGGTTAAGTAGTTTAATTTATATTCTAACTTCTGATGGTAACTACGTAAGTTTCTCGGTAATATAGTATAAGATCCCTGCCTATCAAGTATTTATAATCTACTTATCAATTATTATTAATCTGTATTGTGTATAACAATCTATTGAGTATTTAACAAGTTAATTAATATTGTTTTGAATAAAAATTAATTAATTTCATGTGTGTACTAACTTATAAAATGAAAGATTTAAACTTATAAAAGTTTGATTATATATTAAAAAGAATAAAGCATTATTCTCAAATGTGTACTAATAGTAATATAAATTTAAACTTTAATTATTTTTGAAAAAATCGCAATCCAGTTAAAATGTCAATAATGATTAGTTAGCTATTTTGTTTATTTGTTAAATTAAGATTTTTTTTTACATACTACAAATGTGAATTTAATTAACTTAATGAATTGTTTAAATATTTAATAAAAGTGACACATTTCATGATTCAGTAGTAATTGAATTTAATTATTTACAGAAACTAAATTCAGTTAAATTATACAAAGTTTTAAAATTTAAAATTTGGATTTGATCTGAATACATATTTTTTGCTATTATTTTATCATTAATACATTAAATTTTTAGCAATTATTTATAACTTCTTTTATAATATTGTAGTATTCTTCTTTTTTGTGATGGAGTTGAATTGCAGTTTCATGGAGAAGCATTAAAACAATTTAAAGGTCCAGTTAAAGGGAAATTGTATTTAACAACACACAGGGTAACTTGATTATATATAAAACATCAAATACTTGTAATTTAGCGTATTTATGTAATATTTAATTTTATAATTTTAATAATCCTAAAAATATCCTAAAAATAAGAATGATGATGATTGTTGATATAAGATATATTTTTGAAATTATTTTTTTTACATTTTAAAAGTTTTTACTTTTTAAATTACAGATGATCTTCAAAAATGATAAACTACAACATAATCTACAGTCCTTTGATTTTCCATTTCTTTCAATTAAAGTTAAATTAGAACAACCTATTTTAGGTCCTAATTCCATCAAAGGAGTTGTAAATGCATTTCCAGGAGGTTTTGTATCTTTAAATATTTATTTTTCATGTTTTAAGTTGCATTTTTAATATATTTTATAATTTAATTTGGAAATATAATGAAATAAGATTATATTTTATTTTTATTAATTAATAAACAATACACAAAATATACAATAGACATTTTCATTTTATTATTTATCTGTATTATTTATTATTTGTTGTTGCTAGACTCTAAAGTTTTTGAATCAACTAATATTTTTTATCTGAACTGATTTACAACTTTATAAATTTACATTGTTATTAATAAACAATGTAACAACAGTTTTTATATTAAAATTCTCTGTCAAAATTAAATGAACAGGTTATAAAAACAGTAAAGAAAGAATTTTAAAAATTACAATAACTTTTAAATAATCTAAATATTTTTTTAAACAAATTTTGCAGTTAGGTAATTTCAGTTTTGAAAAGGTTTCAAATTGCTTTAATAAAAATTTCAGATAAACTACACATCATGAATGAAGCCTTTTTTTAAATTAAAATAAAATTTTTTATTCGTGATTGTTGTACTTATTACATTTAATTTATAATTAATAATGTACCATTTAATTAAAAATTGTTTTGATTTTTTGTTTGGTGTCTTTTGGATTTTATCTTATTTAATTGGTTACTATTGAGTAATAATGCATGTTTAGCCTTAAACTATTTGTACAGGGTTCAGTATCTGGTATGATGCATTTTCATAAGACAGTAAAAAGAGTAATGAAGGACGAAAAGAGAGAAGCTTATACTCAACAATATCTATATTTTATGCAATTTGATTTATTAAAAATATCCTTTACACTAATCCAATCTGTTTCTAAAATTATGCATAACTGTTAACTAGGAGCTCTGGATTGATGCTTTCAATTTCTTATAAAATGTTGTCTTTTAATTCTTAAATTATTTGGAGTTGACTTTTGTATATTCTTTCCTTGAAATATCCCTACAAAAAGAAGTTGGGTGCCAAGAATTATGGAACTTTGTAGCCAGTTTATGTCTTCATATTTTGAAATCAATTTATGAAACATTTTCATTAAAATATTATATCTAAGTCTTGCTACATGCACTGTTACAATTTAGTTTTGACAAGATAGAATATCTTTTCCCAGTCTGTTAAAAATCAAACTTGAAGTATGCTTGTTATAAAATATAATTAAATGAACACTGTTTATACATATCTCAGGGACTGGATCAAAAAGGCATATAATTTAAACCAAAGAATTGCCATAATTAATCAGTCTAAGTGCTATTATCATGTTTAATTAGCCTGATTAATTATGTCTATCATTTTTTGGTTTATTTTTAATACATTGGGCTTAGTGATGTAGACACATAATTGAAATTTATGTCAAAATGCATCAAAATATGGCAGAACTAATAGGTTTTTTTATGACAGACTTATAATGTTAGTTTTTAGCTAATGTTTTAACTTTTATGTTTTTATTTTATATTTTTATTCCATATCTTGTTTGCTGAAGTTGCAATAACCACTGGTTGAATAGACAAAATTTATGCAACCAGTTAACAGCAGTTAGCAGTTCTGAAACGATTTTTATCTCCAAGACTTGTCAAGAAATATCTATTGCAAACCATTAAGACTTCTATGTTTGAATTGATAAGAATTATACATTGGAATATGTTTTGAGATAAACTTGTTTTGTTAAAGGAATATTCTTTGCTTATTGAGTCTTTTGCTATTATAGGATACTGGACATGTAGACTTCCTCTATATTATGATTATTTTTGCACACATTAACCAATAATCTATTGTTAATTTCTCACTTTGAGAAAGTAAAATAAAGGGTGGGATCATTTTTATGTCATTTAATTTCAGGGATGTATGAGAATAAAGCCAAAAATGCATTGTATAAATTCTGAGAACATCTTCTAACAGAATATTTGCTATCTGTTATCTTCACCTGAAAGGAAATAATATGTAAATGAAACTCTAGTTAATTTAGATGTACAAATGAAATATTTTACCATTGAAAGGAATAGAAGTGTTTTGGGACCAATATAAAACAATGTATAAATGATGGTTCTTTATTGTATTTTGTTGTCTTGTATATTGTCATGTGTGCAAACAGATATATTAATAATTTAATTATTTTTATAAATTCTTTTAATTATAAATTTTATAGTGATATATTTTATTTACATATATTATTAAAAGATGAATGATTACTTATTAAATCTTTGTATTTTTAATAATTTAAACAAATTTATTAAACACTTGCGTAAAGATACAAAGCCTAAAAACATCTTTTATATAAAATATAAATTTAAAAAATATACTGTATAAATTATTTTAATGTTTAGTACTATAAATATATGTTAAATTAAAAGATTATTATGTTTTTGGATGTATTTCCAAGTCATTCTCAGCTCAGAGCTTACAATTGATCAGAATATGGAATAACTTAGAAGAAGAACATATTTAAAATTATATATAAATATGTATTAGTAATTTAATAAATTTAGTCATTGTGCTACTATACAATTGATTATAGTTTTGTCACCAATGCATTCAGGAAATACTCTGGTATCTGTTTCATTCACTGGCATTTTTATGATATTAGTGCTCACAAATTATCAGATTTTCTATAATTAAATGCATTAATACATATTTAATCTTTTCTCAAAATAGAAACTTCGAACTGTAGTATAATTTCAATTAAATATGGATTCTTAAAAAAGTTATTACTTAATATTACATAAGTGATAATGATTTATTCTTGGGGGACCGAGTTGAATAGATAAAAAAAAAAATTTTAATGCAATTTCAATAAAATTTTTACCTTAGGTGACTACTAATTCATAAATAGTATAGAAATAGAAGACACCACAGAATAGTAAATAAAAAAATGAATTTTAATTAGGAAAAGATTTTTAGAAAATTTTCTACTTTATGTTTGTTTTCCTTTTTCTTTGGTGGACCAGGGCCCCTTGGCCGTTTCCTGCATGTGCCACTGCTGATGCTTCTTGAAATTCTAAACCACTACATACAGGTAAGATTTTAGCTACCATTATCTTTGATAGCTGCCTTTTCTTGACATATTCACTGCCTCCCAAAGGAAACAATGTCCTAGCTGTGTGTCTAAAACATTTTATTTTCTATGAAACATCCAAGAATATATATATAATAAGTAAACAACATGTAAGAAAATGTTTTAGAAATATGTATGTAAAGTATAATATCTTCTTAGAAGCATACAGTAAACAATAAAAAAACTTATCTTGAAAAGAAATTATTTCTGAGCAACAAATACAGCCAACTTTTATGGTGTTCATGAGCAGAGTTATCATATGTGGTGTTGCAGTGTAGACCGCTCCAGGGTTGTCACTGGCAGTGAACATGTTAAGAATAATCACTTAAAAGATCTCCATTTGTTATTCAGATTTAATGATCCAATGAAAATACAATCAGTGACATTGACTTTGACAAAATAGGAATTTACTTAATATCTTTTTCTATTATGTTGGATCTACATTTTTAGAAATTTACATATTTATGAATTTAGGAAATTTTCATCTTACTCTTAAAGTCTTCCTGTACTATCCAATGGGCCTTTAATTGCAATACAATGTTCTTTGGCATAAATTGATGTTTTTATAAATGTGCAATATCTATCTAAAGGACAAATATTTTGCATTTCACATTCATTAATGAATATATTACATATAATATTGATATAGTGTGAATATGGCTGCTATAGAAGACTGATTATTCTGCTCTATACTATAATATTAATGAGATATTCTTTTAACTAGTTTAATGTTTAATATCGTAATGCTATTACTTTTCAATGTTTCTATTTTCAACTGTTACTGATGTTATTGTAAATTTAAATTGTATGTATATATGTATATATATGTACACACAGAGTTGGTCAAAAGTAGGTTTACAATTCTAAGTATATGAAACACAGAGTTTATTCTTATATTATTATTTTATTGTTGAATGATAAGATTTACTGTATATGAGAAGCATGTAAAGAAATTGATGACAATAAAGAACTCTGTGCTGGGAGTGTGCTTGAATGTAGCAGGTAGACTACAAGAATGTGAAAATAATGAAGGCCAGTAATTTGAGCACTTATGAGAATTTGCTTAAGTGAACTGTACCATTCTGACATTCTTTTGAATTAATAAAGCTAAAACATCCACCAAACACCAAAACTCCACAAATGTAAATTTAATACAAAACAAACATTTTTAATTGCCTTAAGCAATCATCATCAGATTACAGAAAAAGCTTTATTCACAGTTAATAAAGCTATTGTAATAATCATAAACTGCATGTCTTTTTCTGTATGAACAACATTAAACTTAAACCTACTTTTGTCCATCCCTATGTTATAAAACATATATATATATATATATATATATTGTTTAATTATTAATGTGTATTTATATATGTTACTGCTAAAGCTCGAAAGCTGTTAATGTGTACATTACCTAGCTAATCCGTTAACGTGCGGAATCAAGAGTTTTTCGCATTTAACCTAGGGCTTCCGTATCATTAAAGTTCAAAAGTTTGTTTCTCTCATTTCCTTTCCCTACTACTTCCCAAACAAGACAGAGCAAAAACTGATGCATGCTCAATTTTAGCTGTGGTTCTTAGTAAAACAGAGGATGGCTTTTATAAACTTGGTACTAAAATGGGTATTTTAAAACAATTGTATGCCAAATCTGAATTCAGTGTTTGCGAAGAGAGATTTTTAACGACAGAAGATGTCCCTGCTGTAGAAATATGTTTACGTCAAATAGCAATAAAACAATCCCTTGTACTGACTGGGCAGGGTTTCAGAAAGTGTGACTGAAAAATCTAAGTGTACTACAAATAGGTGTGCTTGTCGTGAAAACCAATTTCTATGTAATTCAAAGTGTCACCAATCTTTAGATTGCTTTAATAAGTAAGCACAATTTTATCATATGTTTTGCAAATTCATTTCCTTAATTGTAATAATATTTTAAACTGTTTGATTTTTATATTACAGTTTTTTAATTTTGATTGATGATTGATTCTGTCAACTAATTTGTTAATTGTTTGATTCTATTAACTTCATTCTTTATATATCAAAACTTAAATAAATAGCATTATGTTAATTTAAGCGTACAGAAACATTGCTGTTGTTCCAGCAAAGATCTTATTTTCAGTTCTTTGAGTGCCTAGTAGGTAATGTGCAGATTACCTAGATCATCTGCATATTACCTAGGTAATTTGAGAAATGAAACAATTTTCGAAACTTTAACAGATCACCCTAGTTAATCTGGAGATTAGCTAAGCAATGTACACATTAACGGCTTTCGAGCTTTAGTGCTAACATATATATTATAATTTCAAATATATTTTTTAAAGTTGTTCCATAATGCAAATGGTCATAAGCTGAAAATGGCTTAAAATTCAACCAAAAAAAATTACTCAATAAACTTTATTCAATTTCCAGAATTAATCAGCTTTTTAATGATTTGTGTGTTCTGTTTTGTTTATTTTAACAGAAAGTGTGGTGCCATAAAATATTTATAATTAAAATTTTCTTAAATTTTATAAATTTTTAGGAAATTTAAATGGTTATTAAAAACTTCAACTAATTGAATGTCTTTCACCTAATAACTGATTTCATACTTCTTTAGAAATCCCCAAACAATCAGAAAAACAAAATAAATGCTATGCAGTTTAATTTGATAAAATGTTTTTTGAGATATTCACATTTCATTGTTGGATCCAACACAAAAATAAATTGGTTCAAACGAAGAACATGATAACAAATTTGAATAAATTTTAACAGAACTAAAATATTTTGAAACTTGTTTTAAAAAATTTTAATGTTTCAACAATATTAAAATATCATTCTAATAAACTGTTTAAAACTAATTTTGTTAAATTCATGTTAATTTAATTAGTTTTGGAACATTCTAATTTTTACATTAACATTTTACAAAAATTTTAAAGGATATTCTATATTCATATTTATTTATTTATAACCTGTTTATCTTTAAAAATTCATTCACACAAAAAATAAGTATAATGTCTTGAAAAATGTTTAATTGGAATAAATTGTGTTTTGAATCTTTGAACTGTGTTAACATTTCTTAATTTTTAAAATTACTAATTATGTGATTATCTATATTAGTATTTTCCAATCTTTAAGTTACAATATTCCAGTCATTGTCTGGTTTTGATAACAAAGGAGTTAACCATAAAAATGATTGGGATGTATTGACTTTTATATTGGATTTTTTTTTGTTTGCTTTTTCAATTTTTATTTATGAATATTTTGAAAATAAACTTTCAATATAAATAATTCTTTTATTGTTTTAGGTAATTGGGAAGGTGTAGCTAATTTTGAGCTAAAATTTTTAAAAGGTGGTGCTATTGACTTTGGAAGAGCTATGTTAGAAGCAGCAAAAATAGGTATGATTATATGAATTACACTAACATTACATAAAATTGATTGATAATAGTACATGAAAGAGTTACCTTCATAGGTTTTCATGCAAATTTTCTATAATGTTAATTAATCAAACATGTGCACTGATCTTTTAAGCATATTTTAATCATGAATATTGTTAAATCTTTCTGAAGTTTCATCAGATTATACGTTTTGTAATTTTCTTATCATTTTAAAATGCATTTTATTAAATTAGTAATTATTTGGAATCTGTAAATTAAAAAAACCTAATTGTATAATCATCATTCATTATTTATATTTTTTTTAACAATTCTTTCAGACAATTTATAAATAATATAAAAATGAAAACTATTTTTACATTATTTATAAATATAGAAATTGTTTCAATAAAATTTTAATTGTAAATGAGATTCTAATAGCAATTGAAAAATTAATGTGAAGAAAATTATCCTAAATAATTTTTTAAAACTTTGCTAATATTATGTATGAAAAACTCATGTTTTAAGGTTGATATTTTTTTAATATAAGTTAATCTATAAAAGTTATATTGACTAGATTATTAAAACTTTACACACAGCATAATTTGTCATATCACATCTTTTAAGACAAATGATCGCCATAATTAATCAAATTAATGTTATGCTATAATTAATAGTTAGAAACTAAGTGACTTGGTACTAGAGGTAGATGTTAGGTGCCATCTCTTATCTAAATTAATAATTATAATAATTTATTAAATAATTTAGAACATTCCGGGAGAAAATAACTAGCCCAGAGCAGGACTAGATTGTGCCTAACGTCTTCCTCTAGACCAAATTATTTAGTTTCTAATTATTAATTGTAGCATAATATTGGCCTGATTAATTATAGTGATTGTTTGGCTTAGTTTTATACATCGGGTTTTGAGATGTTAATATATATATATTACTACTATTATTTATTATTATGGGGGCGTTATACTCGGTTCACACCGGTGGCTGTGTACTATGCCGGACCAGAGTCAAGGCATATATTCAATATAGTGGTCTTCTGTAGAGTTATGTATGTATTTCTATTCAATTGTAGTGTTCCCAGGCTTTTGTGTAATGTGTGTGATATCACATCTGTACAGAAGAGAACAACAGGTACAATAAGCATCCTATCCATCCTCCACAGATGTCTTATTTCCTGGGCAAGTTCTGTGTACTTGCTAATTTTTTCAGTGCATGTGTTTTGTACATTGTGAGTGTTTGGAATGGCTATGTCTATAACGTATGTGATTTTATTGTGTTTGTCAATGAGTGTGATGGCTGGTCTGTTGTGGTAAAGTGTTTTATCTGTGATTATGGCTCTGTTGTAGTACATTTTGTGTGAGTTGTTTTCCAATACTGTCTGTGGAATGTATTTGTAGTATGGTTCGTGGATGTCTAATAATTTGTGTTTCTTTGCAAGCTCTTGGTGTATTATATTTGCTACTTGATTGTGTCTATGTAAGTAATCTGTCTGTGCCAAGAGCTTGCAACCAGAAGTGATGTGTTGTATAGTTTCTGGCATGATGTGACATTTTCTGCATGTGTCATTTGTGAGTGTTGTATCTTTGAGTATGTGTTTTCTGTAGTTTTTAGTATTTATGACCTGATCCTGTATGGCAATCATGAATCCTTCCGTCTCCCCAAAGAGGCATCCCCGATCTAACCAGCTGTTTGACGCAGTTTTGTCAACAAAATCCTGGGCCAGGTCATAAGGATGCCTGCCATGGAGTGCCTTTCGAGCCCACGATTGCTTGATGGTGTCTATGCTTTTTATGTGTTGTGTCATGTCTGTATGATGTGAGTGTAAGTTTAATGGTGTGCTATTTGAGTCTGCTAGAGTTACTGCTTTATGTAATTGTGATGTTTCTTGTTTCCTGTAGAAAAACTCTCGCAGTGACTGTATTTGTTTGTAGTGAAGGTTAACTATGTCAATCAGGCCACGTCCGCCTTCTTTACGTGGAAGGGTTAATCTTTCTGTGGCGGATTTAGGATGATGTTGTTTATGCTTAGTAAGTGTTGTTCTTGTTTTCCTTTGGAGTTGCTCGAGATCTGTGTGAGTCCAATGTATAACTCCAAAAGAGTATGTGAGTACTGGGATGACATATGTGTTTATTGCTTTAACTGTGTGTTTTGCATTTAACTGTGTTCTGAGTATACCGTTTAACCTACTTTGGTATTCTTTAATTAATCTTTGCTTTATTTGTGTATGTTCTGTTAGTTTGGCCTGTTGGAATCCTAAATACTTGTAGAACTCGCCCTCTTCCATGGATTCAATAACGTCTCCATTTCCAATTGCAAAATCTTCTTTCTTCAGGATTCCTTTTTCTATGTGAAGTGTTTTGCATTTGTCTAAGCCAAACTCCATTTGTATGTCCTTGGTGTATGAGTGTGTGATTTGTAGGAGCTGCTGAAGTTGTTTCTGTGTGGATGCATAAAGTTTTATGTTGTCCATTTACATGAGATGTGACAGCGTAAACTGTGTTGTTTTTTTCATGTCTGATATTGTAGTCATATTGCGTGTTGTTTAATATGTTGTTGGATAATGGGTTCAGGGCTAGGCAGAACCAGAGAGGACTCAAGGAATCTCCTTGAAAAATTCCTCGCCTAATGAATATTTCGTTTGTTTGTATGGAAGTGTTACTAATCCTGAGATGTAGTGTTGTTCTCCAGTGCTGCATAGTGTTTTGGAAGAATGCAATGAGTGATGGATGTATTTTGTACACATGTAGAATATGTAGCAGCCAACTGTGTGGAACACTGTCGAATGCTTTTCTGTACTATATATATGCCATTGCATGTTTTTGTGTTGTTTGTGTGCTTGCCATAGAATGACTGAATCTATGAGTAACTGTTCTTTTGCATCCCCTGTGATTTCTAGGGCAACCTTTTTGTTGTTCCATAAAAATGTTGTGTTCTTCAACATGTTTGTATATTGTGTTTGTGATACAGGATGTCAATAATTTGTAGAGTGTTGGAAGACCTGTAATTGGTCTGTATTGTGTGGGGTAAGTAGTGTTGTTGTTTTTTAGGTTTCATGAAAGTGATGCCCTGAGTAAGATATTTTGGCGTGTCTGGTGGATTGATGATGATGTGTGTTAGATGTTTAGCTAGTTCCTGGTGCAGTGATGTAAACTTTTTGAACCAGAAATTGCAAATGTTATCTACACCAGGTGTCTTCCAGTTGTGTGTTCTGTTCACAGCGTAGCGGATGTCGTGTACATTTATTTCAGCACAGGGCATAGTTGGTATGTTGTACAAGTTTCTGTTCTCCTCCTTGATCCAGCCTGCATCAGCATTGTGTATAACAGCATTAGACCAAAGAGAAGACCAATAAGTTGTGAGTTCTTCTTCTGTTGGTGTGCCACTGTGCTGTGTATCAGTGTTTGTTTTGGTACTGATTTGTCTGTAGAAAAGTTTTTCGTTGTTTGTGAATAATTTATTTTGTTGTTTTCGTAGTGTACATGTGTTGTATCATTTGAGTCTATGTGCTTTGGCTGCAAGTTTTTGTTTTAGTGCATCGATGTATTCTGTAAAATGTGTGTTGTGATGTTCATGTTTTGTGTGTGTTTTGATTTTCTTGAAAATGCTTTTGAGTTGTTTCTTTAATTTGGGTGTTATGTTGTTTTTAGTGTATTGTGTCAGTCATTAGACATTAGACAGCAATTAGACAGCCTGCCTAATTGCTGTCTAATGTCATTTATTTGTGTTTCTATTCTTCTCTGCCAGGCAGGCTTGTGATAGGATTGTGTTTTGTGTCTGTCTGTCTGTCTGTCTGAGTGTATTTTCAGTCCATGGTGTGTTACTACTGTGACTGCCCCAGCATAAACTAATGTATGAATGTCTGAAAGTGTAGAAATTGAATGAATGTAGTTTGGTAGTAAGTGAATGTTTACATAATTTAATGTTTTTCCTACTTCCTTTGACGTGTTGATTTTTGGTATTCATGCTCTTTGTGTGGGATCTCTACCAGTATATTTAGTGAGTGTTTCCTGAAATATAAGTGAGAGTGTATTAACTAATTCTATGTTTACGTTATCAGTAATGGATGAGGAAGTGCCTGTAGTATCATTAGTTGTAGTTGTTATATGTGTGCTATTATCAATGCTTGTTGCTGGATTATCCTGACAGGTTACATGATCTTCATTAATAATGTTAAATGTTTCTGTTTGTTGATGTATTTGATCAGCAACCTGTTGTTTGATAAGTTTGAGTATTGTTTATGGGATAAGGTTGTTGTGTATAATTGTTCTTTTTTGATCAATAACCCTTTGTTCAGTGACAGTGAGGTGAGGATATTGTTGTGTGAATCTATGGTGTAGTTGTTGTCTGTATGCTGTCATGTTTGTTTCGAGATTTGTGATTGTGTAGTAAGTACGGATGATAAACGCGTTCATTTCTGGTGTGCATTTCATCCGTTGGCGTGGTTTTCCAGCCTTTGTGGTCTGTGGATGCATTGCCACAGAAACACCAAGGCTAAGTTGATTCCTCACATCTGTTTAGGGCATTGCAGTAGCCATGCTTGGGCTGGTGCTGCTTTCGCCACTGGTAATTCAAGGGAGACTGCGGCCTATTTTTTGAACGTGAGCCTCTGCCTAACCCACAAATGCGGACCTTGTTAACCCGGGTGACGTCCGAGCCGGTATCACACTTTGATCTGGTTACTACCATGATAAATATCTCCACAGAATGTGGGTGTGGTCACTCTTAGCTTCATTTCTCCCCACAGACCTTACTGGCATGAGTGTCCCTACCAGGAGCTTGTGCTCCAGCCTGCATTGCTCTATGGTTCAGTAAAATTACTGGGCTCTCCCACCACGACCAGGTGGTGACCACGGGAGAGTTATTATTATTTACATTTCAACTATTTCAATGTCCACACAGCAAACAGGGTAGAAATGCTGGTTATCAAAAACATAAAACCACAAGTCGAACACTTCCCAAGCATTTAAGACTGTGTGATATATCTTCGAATGATGCGAGCAGATCCAAGTAAAGTGGCCTTTTGCAGCTGACAGATAGTAATTTTGTCAATATTTATGGCTTGTAAGTGCCGATTAAGATCTTTTGGCACAGCCCCCAATGTGCTGATAATCACTGGGACCACCTGTACTGGTTTATGCCAGAGACATTGCACTTCAATTTTTAGGTCATGATATTGGCTAAGTTTTTCTTATTGTTTTTCGTCAATTCTACTGTCACCCAATATGGCAACATCTATGATCCACACTTTTTTCTTCTCCACAATCGTGAAGTCTTTCGTATTATGTTCCAGAAATTTATCAGTCTGAATTCGGAAGTCCCAAAGTATTTTGATTTTGGATTTACTAATGTTGCATGACTTCTTTAGATAAGCTAAAAGATAAAATTTAGGTCTGGACATAACAACTTTCTTTGTAGAAAGACTTTAATTACAGAAAAGTGAATTAGCTTATGATTAAATAAGGAATAAAAAAGTTAAATATTGCTCACTACTACTATTTTTGTTTGTGTGTATTACAAATCAAGCAATGTGGTGATGTTGATAAATGTTCTTATGAATTATCAAAATAAAATAGCTGAAGAATTTATATTCAACATAGTTATAAAAAAACAACAATAAACTTAAATTTTCTGATGTTATATTTGATTTCCTTTCAATGTTTGTAGTGTGATCTCATATAATAAAGCAGAGCTTTAAATGTTCCTGAAAATTTTTCAGTTATTGAAGTTTCTTTGGAAAGTCTGATGCTGTTTACCTTTATCTAGTGTCAATATTTGATTAAGCTTTTATTTAGAGAAATTAAAAGAGTTTTCGTATACTAAGTTAAATACAAAAAATTAAAAAAGTATTTACGATATTTACATGTTGNAATATTTGATTAAGCTTTTATTTAGAGAAATTAAAAGAGTTTTCGTATACTAAGTTAAATACAAAAAATTAAAAAAGTATTATGAAAAATAACATTAACAAATAATAAATAGATATAAATATTTTATACAAGGTTTTATGAATGACAATATCGAGTACATTTAAAATTTAAAGAAAATATAATACATGTTAAGTATTTAATTTTATTTAATTTATCCTTCATAATTAGTTTTCAAGTAACTTACTATCTAATTGTTTTTGCATGATTAAGTTATAATAATTACCCCTATCTAATTCATTTTATAATATACAATTAAATAACTAAATTTTACGCTAGATTCTTGTCAGATAAAAGTTTGATATTGGTGTTAATAAGGTTTTGATAAGTAAAACATGAAAAACACCAAAAAATTGTTGGGCCGAAAAAGAGCATTTATATATACTTCTAAACTTTATAACTTTATAAATAAAATAAATTATTTACATACAAAATGCAAGTACATTTCTACATACAACTTATTTTATAACTTATATTCAGCATATACTAGTAAGTTTTTAGTTTAGTTTTTTAACTACATATTCTGTATTTGAATCTATGATGTGCATAGGGTTTCACAAAATTTACAATAAGCTTTTTGTGGACCATGGGACCTTTTTTAAAGTGTGGTAGGATATAATGGGGAATATGCTGAACCCACTCTGTGTTGGCCCTGAATGAAAATATGTGTATATTTGCATTTAAAGACTTAAAATAACAAGTTGTTTAATGATATCAAAGTTTCGAACTTATTTATGATTACATAATGTTAAATACTGACATTTTATTTATATTCATTTATTATAAATGTTATATTTAATCATTTTCATGTAATAAATAAAATATATTTCTAAATATAAACTATAAATAAAGTATGAAGGTTTTATTTTGTTAATAAATGTATCTTAATATTATATATTTATGTAAAATATTCATTACCATGAAAACAGTTATTGTTAAATTAAATTTTATATTATTTTACATTTTTAAGTTTTTTGAAATTTAATACAAAGCTTATATTTTAGTTTCTGGAAGAGAAACAAGTGGATATTACTATACACCACCTACTAATTCACTTTATCAAGTGCCTCCTGTTGTTTTCCTTCCTCCTGCAGGGATGGGGTTCGGCTTCTTTCTTCCAGTTGTATTTTTTTCACCACAATCAGATGGTAAGTAACTGATGTTAACAATATAATGGACTCCCTTGACCAAATTGTTCTTCAAACATCAAGTATACGACAGATATTGACATTAAAATCAAATTAAAACACCAACATCAAAAATCCATCAAAATATACACTTTAATATACAAACTAATGGTTTCAATCATCTTAAACAGTCATTATCAAGTTTAACTTAAAAATTTGAACAATGATTGTGATTACATCAAATTTTCTAAAGAAAAAGATCATTGGTATAATTGATTGCAATGTCATATGTAACAAAAATTGAAAAAAAAATAGGAAAATTGATATATGATGTATAAGTATTAGTTCAAAAATGTTGTCCACTACTGGCCAGAGAAGTATTCCAGGTTTATGGACTTTTGCAAAGACAAAAAAGATTCCTTGATAGGATGCAGTGAGAACTTAATCTTCCAGAGGTCATGTTAAATAATGAATGAGGATACTGGGATTTCCCCAAAGATTTTTCTAAAGAAAAATGTCTGAAGTTAATTTTGTACATGGGGCCTCCTAATTCAAATTTACCTGAACCCCATGAAGCTATAATGTATTATTGTTTATACCTTAAAGTTTTGTCTTTGCAAAACTCCATAAACATAGAACACTTTTTTGACCAGTAGTGGACAATAAAGAGATGAATTTCTGAAGTATCTTCTCAAACTAATAATATTGATAACTACTGCCAAACTGTAATGGATTCCAAAACCCTAATGGAGCAACTTGGTAACATCTTTGGTTAATGATGAATACATCATGTGTGGCTTGAGCTTCTATACCATTCATCAAGAATGAACTCTGCTTTTACAAACTACACATGTTAAAGCACTAGCACTTCCTGTTTAAGCACATCTATAATCCTAAAAACATCATTTTAACATCGTCAAATTAGTGCACCTTGTTTGTCACTCATTCTTATTCCTATTTGAAGCAGTATTACTTGCAAGTTAGAGGTGTGATGGGCAGCCTCATATCAGGCAGCATCTGTGAACTGGTAATTCATGATCTAGAAGAGATATCCTTCCTGTACATGACAACCAAATCGTCTTATATACAAGGTAAGTTATATTGATGATATGCTAATAATTTGATGCCAAAAACCCAATATATAGCAGTTTTTAAGAAACATCAATGATAGCCCTTATGGCCTCCATCTTTGGATTGAACAAGAAAGCCAACTATCACTATCAGCCCACTTCCTTGATGTTCTCTTAATTCTGCATGATGTCTACATCTTCACCAGGGTACAGTAAATAAAAAACTTACTTTCCATCAGCTGTTTATCCTACCTGAATTCCAGGATCAATACAGTTCAAGACCACAGCTTTCACAGCCTTGGTTAAAAGATCCTTCTCACATTTAACATGTTAGGCAGTGTAAAGGAGATAGTAGATTATATAAAACAAATTGGAAAAAAGTATAAGTATGGGTACCTAACAAGCATGATCAAGGAATTAATTAAAAAATATGAAATCTCTTCAGATGTTCAAAAACACCAAACTGTACATAATTGTCAGATATAGCTATGAACTAAGAAAAATTTGTAAAGACCTGACAACAGCCACCCACATTAAGATTGCCTATAGAAGGAACTCCACTATGTATCTTAGGAATGCTAAGGACCCTTTAGATAAAAAACAACTCCCAGAATTGTATTGTATTTCTATCAAGAATAACAAGCTTCACAAAAAATGGGAATATATCAGTGCCTCTACTCACTCCCTTAACTTGTAACTTAGAGAACAAGCATTTTCCATAAGAAAGGAGATAGCTACAACTGCCTTAAAATCCTTTGCAATTGAGATTGACATTTGGATCAATCTAAATAAATCTACCATCTTACAACCAATATGAAATTTTTTCATCTTAAATATCTTGAAAAATTGGAAATATATAAGGCAGCCAGAATATTAATGGCCATTAATTACTAAGAACATAGAGATCATCTCCCCTGCTTGGAAGTTCTTATACAAAGTGTCTTAACTGAGATTCTTCCATTCTCTTACAGTGTGGACAATATTTTTGAATCAATACATAATGTCATAATCAATTTTCCTGTATTTTTTTCATTTTTTGTTATACACAACATTGCAACCAATTGTACCAATGTCTTCTATTGTTTAAAAAATTTGTTCAAATTTTATTGGATTAATCTTGATGACGTCTGTTAAGAAGGTTGAAAACATTAGTTTGTCTATTAAAGTGTATCTTTTACTGGAATTTTGGTGTTTGAATTTTTTCCAGTTTTACAAGATGTTTATTTTGGTATTAAAATATTTTTAATTTAATTTTTATAGGTTATTTTAGGTTAAGTTTATTTGATAAATAAAACAGAAATGAAGCAAAATGCTAAAAAATTGTGATGTTTGATGGATATTTTGTATTTTGATATGATGTAAACAGCATAGTTGATTTAGTTGATTGAGTTGTTTAGTTGATTCTATCTCAAATATTCTATTTTTTCTATTTTACTTATTTAAAATTATATCTATAATGAACTATTAACATAAAGAAAATAAAAGAAACATGGAAAATGGAATGTTTGAGACAATTCCTTCTAAACTTCATATTAGCAAGTATTTAGAGGTGTAGTGAAGGTTTTATTTCCATTTCAACATTTTTATTTGGGATATTTCACTGATGCAGATTATACACCGCTACAAATTATTCTGATATTGATAAATCCTATCAATATTGAGTTTTATGATGAAAGAATGAAGTTCAACTAAGAGTGCATTTTATTTTTATTCTTATATATTGACTAAAATTTGATATATAGACATTTTTAATTTTGATTATTCATTAAAATATAATTTCATATTTAAGAAATAAATATTTGAAGCTTTAAAATTTCAAGCTGTAAACTTTTGAAATTATACTGAAGTTATAGTGAGAGGTTTTTTGAGACAACCTTTTAAAATTTTTTTTGATAAAATGATTTTTCAGAGGGTTATTTTACATGCCATTCATGCTTTCTTATTGACATGTTACAATATATCCATCAATGATAGTACTTTTTGAAGCATTTTGGACAAATAGCATTATGTTTTTCAAATTGCTGTTCCTATTCTTTGCAAAGATCGATGTGTAATCCAATGATCAGCTTTGCCAATGTCCTACCTTTGCACTGGTCAATTTTTATAGTTTATGTCTGTAATAGTTTTGAAAGCATTTTTGTTCTTATAAATCTCTTGTCAGGGTAATCTGTTGTAATATGGAGTTGCTCTTTCCAGTCCATAACACCCTTTTCCTTGTCTCTACACATTCATTAGAAATGACACAGAAAATACAGTTTTGGTGTATCTATCCAACCATTCATTATTAGCATGGAAAAATCAAATTTCAATGCTTTCTCATGCACCATGGGCCACTTATAGAAAATTCTTTATTGCATGAATGATTAAGCCATTCAAATACTGCCACATTAACTTTTCATATATTTTTCAGTCTTTTTTATTTCTTAGAATTTTCTTCTCACTCTTTTAGATAATGTTCCTTACTGGTAAGAAAAACTTGAATTTGCATTTTGTTACAACTCTTCTGTCAATCTCTTTTGTTGAATTCTTCTATCAGTTCTTTACAATATCCTACTTCATTTTTCTTAATCACAGATACTATCCTGTAAGGTTAAAATAGTTTTCTTATGATACTGGATCTTGCCATGACTGATTCTCCCAAAATGCCAAATTATGTTTGTTGTGTTTGTCACAGGTTGTTGTGAAGTTGTTTGGTGGAAAGAGATAACTATTTATGAGAAATAACCTAAATCTAAACATATTAATTTTTTTTAATTTAAGAGTTGTATACTAAGATAGCCATATGATAATTATTAAGTTATATTTACTGAATATGATCATAATTTTGTTGATTTTGAATATATTAAAGAATTATTTAGATGAAAATTTTAAATAGGATCATTAGTTAATTATTAGTAAGGTAAATAATAAATGTTTAGGCTGAAAATTTTTACTTTTATTTATAATAAATAAATATCAAGTTGATCATTCTTCACTGAATTCATGAAATTTATTAATATTAAGAAAATTCATAGTACTGAGAATCTATATATTTTACATACCATCGAAAATATATTTATGAATTGTATTTCTGTGTTGCACCATGAAATAGCTATCACCTTCCATTTTCTAGAAATTGAAGGAATAAAAATGATTTCTGTTAGTTAATATTGACTTAGTTCAGAAAATTATAAAATCATCAGCAAGCTAATTTATTTTTACAAGAATTAAGTAAAAATATGATGAACTAGATCATACTAGTAAACTTTTATCAACTTTTTTATATCATACTAAAAATAGAACGTGAGTTTTATCCACAGATTTTTCTGTTACTATGTATGAGACATCAGCTTTATGAATAAATTTATTAATTAAACTTAAAAAGATTAAACCAGACATTTATTAAGTTCTTGTTTTGCTAAAGTCGAAAACTTAATTCACTATATTTAACTAAATCTAATTAAATATATTTTGTGAATATCTTGGCTTGTGTATATTCAGTCTTGTCTTTGATTAGGACAAATGACAAATGATAATTGTAATTGTAATGCCAATTGACCATGACTTATTACTCCATTCATTGTTATAAAGTGAATTTTGAGATTAAAATAATTATACACATTTAAAACAATTGCCCTAGCTTGGCTTTGAAATGTTTCACTTTGTTTATACACAATAACATTACTTTGTTATTTTGTTAATTAAATTAAAACTGAAAATTGAATCCATTACTGTTTTTATTTATTTGCTTCATTTTAAAATGTTATAGTGTAGAAATCTGTTTTATATCAATTAAAATAACATATGTATAAAATTGAAAATATTAAGTAACTTTCAAGTTAGAAGACAGTAATAAAATAAATTTTTATGTAGCATTTTCTAAACAGTAATTGCATAAACAAAACAGAATTTTTGTATTCTGTCGGATAACCTGGCGTCAGATCTTTACCACATAAGGAAGTGCCTCATTCTTGGATAAGATATAGTTTCTTACAATGAATAAGAGTTGAGTCATGAATTCTTGAACTTTGCATCATTAGATGATATCGTCTTATTATTTTTCTATTTGATTTTTTTCAAATTCATTTTAGTATTTATTATTATTATTTGATAAATAAAACTGAAACAAAACCATATGATAAAAAATAAAAATTTTTTGTTGTTTGGTGACTTTTATATTTTAAACATTTATGAAGTTTAGTAGTTTCTATCTCAGTATTTTGTATTTCCATTTTTATTTACTTTAAAATTTTATCTATAATAAACTATTAACATAAATAAATCTATAAAATGTTTTAATGTTTGAGTTAGTATCTTCTAAATCAGTGCTAGTCCACAAACAGTATATTATTGAGCTGCAATGCAATTTTACTTAAAATTTTTATATGTTAACACGTTTTTAAATCGTTTTAACTTATTTTATTACTATTGCTTTTCTTTATTATTTAAGTAGTACCAGAGGTAAACTGGCAACTGAAATCAACGGAGGAAATCACTTGAAAAACAGTCCAAAAACTTATTTTTTCAAAATTATTATCACCAAATTTTGTTGTTATATTTTTCTTACTAATTCAGTCAAAAATTAAAATTTAAAAAAATGAATTTGAATTTCATTCCTTTCATTTTATAATTACTGTATTTTTATTTAATTTCACAAAAATACTAGTCTTTGAGGGATTGGGAAAAAATTGGTGTATTGACATGAAGTTTAGAACAATCTCAAACTGCACTGTGGTAAGCATGATCTTTCAATAGCCATTCTAGAGGTGTGTGTTAAGCAAAGATTTTATTTCTGTTCTAGCAGTTTTCTATGGGAGATCCGCTGATGCAAGTTATCCATATGCAATAACATTACTTAAGAAACTTGATAAATTTTCCAGAATTATGCAGATTTAAAATTGTTCTGAAAGACAATTCATTCTACAGTCTTGTACTAATTTATCTAAAATTTTGATTTTTTTTATAATTCCTTATCTTATTATAGATAAGCAAAAAAAAAATAGAAATAAAATTAAAACTCAATGATAATTGGCATGCATCATTGAATGCATATTTGAATAATGTGTGTGTGAATGAATGAATATACAGTACATTTAATGGTCATATTTCTTAATTGTATTTCACTACATTTATAACACATCCAAATTCTGATTTATATTTCAAGTTGTTTAATATATTAACAACTTATATGAAAGGCATTCAAAAAGTTCTCAGAAAGTGATTATTATTCATACTTTTCTAGTATTCTGATGTAATGCTCATAGATTTTATTGAAGATCAAAGAACAATAATTGCAAGCTATTGTGAAACAGTTTTAATAAAACTGCTTGCAGCTGTAAAGGAAGAATTACCTGGAAAAATTCATCAGTGTATCTTGTTCCGTCATGATAATGTACCGACTCATTCTGCAAGATTACCAGGATGAATACTCATGGGAGATTTTACTGCACTCTCCTGTACCCCAGATCTAGCCTCATCAGACTTTTTTATTTCCAAATGTAAAAAAGGATATTAAAAGGGTTTGCTGGCAATCAATAGATCAAACGAAACATTTTGTAGTGCAGTGGCTAGAATCGAAGAGCGCTGATTTTTACTGGAAGGACTTAGATGGATGGTGACACCATGTGAGAAAATGATTTAATTTAAATGGAACATATGTTGAAAAATAAAGCATTAAATTCAATTTGCCATCTTTTTTATTTACATTTTCCAGGAATTTTTTAAACATTCTTCATATATTAAATATACAAGATGTTTAATTTAAAATGTAATTGCTGAAATGTAATCTTCAGAATATCTTAAAAAAACTCAATATGATTCAGCACCTCAAACAACCTTTACAGCTCCAGTGATATGTGTTTTCACTTTAGCAAACATTTTCAACCTTATCGCGGTCTTAATCAGGCTACTTTAATTATGAATTCGAACGTGTTTGGAACGGAACATATACGATTCAAAATTTATAAACAGATTTAAGAATACTCAAGGAACATTACACACGCGCTAAAACGACTGTAACACACGTGTAATGTCAAGTTTGCATAACGGTAGAAGCAGACGAATTATACACACTCATTTATGGGGATGAGTTCCCTCATAACAAAACTTCCATGCGCTAGATATGCCGACTGCATCCCTGGAGTTGATGCACGTGCCACGTAATCCTGCCTTGTATATTTCTAAAATTCCAAATGTGTTCGAATTCATAATTAAAGTAGCCTGATGAAGACCTCAATGAGGTTGAAAACGTTTGCTAAGGTGTAAACACATATCACTGGAGCTGTAAAGGTTGTTTGAGGTGCTGAATTATAACTCCTCTAGTGTTGGAAGACATTTATTTCTTATAACTCAATATGAATTTGAAATTAATTTAAAGAAAAATTCTATGCTTATTTTCTGTTTTTAAATTAATATAATTCTGTAAATGATTAATGTTTAGTTTATTATATAGTGTATTGATATTCTGCTGTAAGTAGTTACAAAATTTTTTTCTTACTTGGTCTGATCATTGTCAATGGGAAAGTTACAGTATATCATCAGTTCAGACTACAAATGTTAATGAATTCTTTTCAAATCTTTCGAAACTAGATTTATCAGAGGATGAAAAACCATTCTGTAGCATCTTTATAAAGTGTAGAATACCAGTAGAAAAGCAAATGTTCAGAATGAAAAATGACATTGCTGTGATTGCTGTAATATATGCTGTAACTTACAATAAAGATTTATTTCTGACAAATTTGTCTATTTACATTTTATAAATCAGATGACAATTAAAATAATTTTAAAATATGATTCTTTGTGAATGCAATCGTGCTAATATTTTAAATTATTTAATTGAATATTTAGATATAAATTTGTATTAGAAAGCAATGTTGTTTCTTAAATCTATAGAATGTATTTGCAATTTTTCAGTTTTTGATTTATACCTTTTAATAATGGAAATTATGAATTATTTATGGTAAATTTTGCTTATTTTTGATATTTAATAGTTGCATTTAGATAATAAATCTAAATTGCTTATAAACTGTAATGAAAGACAAATCTACAATTATATCATTTAGTTATACAGTAGACTAAATAGTATTTAATACTTCTAATTTCTTTTAGATTTGAATTTGTTTTATTGTATTGTCAATAACAGATCCATTTTTTTCATTTCTCAATGGTCTTGATTTCAAAAACTTCAAATAATAGAATGAAATTCTGTTTATGTGTTTGTCTGCATTTTTCTTTTATTTCAGGACCCCACTGACCAAAAATTTTGAAATTTGACAGGAGTATTATATATTTGGCATCGATCTATTACATTTTGGAGATTATAAGTTAGGGGGAGATAGAGGTGTAGATCGTCGCATCTCTAGTGAGGTCAGACTTAATGAAAATTTTACTTATTATTGGCATCTACAATTTTTTTAAAAACTAACCTCTACCTTAACAATAACTTGTTTTTTTTCTAACTCTTATAACATATAATTGAAAATTATTTGACTTCTTTTCTGTTTACCCTTTGCAAGAGCCCTTGCCAGCTTTTTTTCACTACTGAATATCTTTGTTGTTCATAGTAGAACTGTAAAAATTATTACTATTTAAAGAAAAGAATAAATATACTTTAACGTCTTATTGGGAATATATAAATTGTATACAGAAAATATAGTATTGAAATCTCAATAATAATGCCATTATTTTGTAGTTATTTTCTGAGTTATTAACTGTTGGCAAGGCAAACAATTTCATCTTCCGTTCTTTGAAGTTTTGTCTACCTTCTCTATTATACTATAGAAAATAAAGAGAGAATTTCCAATTAGCATAATATTGAATACGAAATTTCAAACTTAATAGAGCAAGAAAATTTGGAATTTTTATTTTACCGATTCTCTGAACAAAAGTACAGAATAAAAATATATTTATATTGATAAGTGTTAAAATAAGGAGAGTTTAAGATACGGCAGTAACATTATTTATTAAAATTTTTGCAATATTTCGTACACATATAATCAATTATATACACAAAATATTTTAATTATTAAAATTTAAATTACAGAAAGTACCGTATTTAAGACCGATGATCCTCCACCTTATCCCGGTTTAGAAGGAATTTCGAAACCAACGACACAAGGTATTCTTTTCTATTTTATGAATTTTTCAAGAAAATATTAGATTATTTTTTCTCTTACAACTTTATTTTTGATTAGGTCAAGGAGCGGCTCAAGATGGAAAAGTATACAGTATTTATTTTAATAATTTACTATAGTTTCAAATTTTCAGATATTTACCATAATAAATTTATTTAACCAGCAGGTGGACGAACAACCGCCTCCTTCTTACTACGACGCAACAAAAAAGAAATAAAAATTCAGAAGTTAATTCTCAAGAAAATAATAATAATAAATTATTGATCTCAAATATGCAGCTTTAAAAAGCTTGTTGATTTTTCTGCACTTTGTGTAAATAATTTTTGGTGTTTATTGTTATTAGTATTACTAAAAAATATATCAATAATTGTTTATAAAGATGTAAATATTCTAATTTATAAAAATAATAATTAAGATTTTCATATAATATATATATAAGGTTGTTTGAGGTGCTGAATTATAACTCCTCTAATGTTGGAAGACATTTATTTCTTATA